AGAACTAACTTAAAAGCGCAAGATATACATTCATTCAAGTTATATAAATTGGGGGTAACAATTTTTTTTAGATACAAAATTGTTTGATATGATTTTTGCTTTTGTTTTAGCTCATTAGAATAGTTTTCGGATGAAGAGAGAGAGAGACAGCCAACGGTAGAAAGGGTAAAAGAAATGTGGGCCCAATGTATTTTTTAATTAAAAAATATACAATTGTCGAAGTTTGCTTAAAATTGCACACGTGTCGTTCTGTGATAGAGTAGGCATTCCAAATGGGCTGGTACGACTGCCCCCACCCAAGATTTTCTCCTGAGTATGCGACATCCAAGATTTTTAACCAGAAAACTGATGTCTATGGTATTGACTTGCTTTTACTAAGAGTGTGTTTGGGAGTGATTTTTGGGGGAAGAATTGATTTTGAATAGTGATATGATCGAAAATGTGTAGTTGAAAAAGAAGAAAAAATTATTGATGTGATGGAAAATATTATTTTATTGAAGAATGTGTGGTNGGATATGAAGGGAAATGTGTGGTTGAAAAAGAAGAAAAAGTATTGATGTGATGAAAAATATTATTTTATTGAAAAATATGTGGTTGAAAATGAGAATTGATTTACTGTAGAAAATGAGAATCTATACTAAACAGGCCATAAATCTCCTGGTTTGGCAGCAATATATATGGCCCAATCCATTAGAAGAAATAGCTGGTGGTACCAAGAAGCATGATACGGCTTGTTTTGGGAAGGATCAAGTAAAACATCACGTGGATCAAAAGATTACAGAAGGGGGAAATGAAGCAATTGCAAGATTTCCTAGATCTTACTTTGAGGTGCATTCACGAAAAGGGAGAAGATAGGCCGGAGAAGACGACGATTGCAAAAGAGCTTCAAAAGATCGAGAAGTTTGGTCACCATTCCTAGCTTGCTTAGCTGCTACACTAGAATTCACCATCTACATCAGGTCGAATGTTGTAATCACTTAATTTAAAAGAACTTCCAAATTTCTTTTATTCGGTTTAACATCTTTAACTGTGTCTCATATCATTAAGTTAAAGCTTGACTTGTAGTAGGCTTATGACTTTGGGCACCTTCTCCTTACTAGGCAGTTCTACAAGTGAGCTTTACCCAAACTAGACCCGCGTTAGCTTCACTGTAGTAAAAATGCTTAAAGCTGGTTTGCTTCTCTTCCTAAACAATCTGAAGTTAGAAAACGCAAAATTGCTCGCTTAAATAGACTCATGAACACAGCCACGATTGAAATGCAGGACACCCAAAGAGAGAGTAAAAAGAACACAAATTATTCATATGTTGGATCTTCTTCAAAAAGTAAAAGATACCTTCAAGGTCCTAAAAGTTGCATCAAGTGTGCGGTTAGTCAAATCCTTTGATATTTTTCTAAGACTTGCCGTTGCAACCTGCCCAAAATAGACTTTAACTTCTCTAAAGGTGATGTGCTGTCGTAGGCACCTAAAAATAGTCTTTAAATCTCTAAAACTAATATAGTAATGGAAGTAAGGGTCGATCCCATGAAAAGTGTGCAATTCAACAATTTATGTTTCGTATAACGATTAAAGTGTTTTTGTTTATAACGAAATCAATCTTATAACAAATAACAATGTAAATTAATGAGTTGTATTAAATCAATGAAACGAGTCTTGATCAAAATCAACTTCCACCATTGGAGATTTATAACCATTCATCAATCCACAAAGAATAATCAACATTCACGATATTCATCGTTGG